AAATTTTATTGAAATAAAACCATTTAAACTGGGTGTTCGGATTTATATGTCACTTAGTATATTTAGCCCTCTATTAGCCTGAGCATACTTCTAAGATTTTATGAAAGTTTGACAAGATTGCTTACCAGAAAACTTCATGGGTTTGGAAACGTCCCCGAAATTATACTTTTATTCTCTGCATTCTTTTTGGTCAGAGTTTAAAAATAAATACCAAACTTCTGGCACTTTAGAACCTTATGGTGTAGACATATTTCGTTCATCATCAGCGACTGTTAGAATTTCCGTGACCTGAATTTTTTGCGGATTTATGGCGGTACGTGGAAAGCAGTGAAACAGTTTAATTAGCTCAAGTTTTTGAATAGCCACAAACTTCCATTTCTCAGTTTTTTTTTACATTCTGATCGTTAATGAAGGAAACCATTCAAAATCCACTATTGACGTTTTTTTCCTCAACTTGCTAGATCAGTGATGTTCAATTTGCTAGCGTACCTAGATATTTTTACAACAGTGAACATCCTAGACGATAGTCATAACTCTCACTCACGCACCGAGTCCAATGTATCTATTCATAGAAAAAAGCTCGTCAATCTAACCTGGCATTCGTCATATTTGCGTTCTTCATAATTAACATGTCCAAAGACCGAGCATTCTGAAAATAAATCCTAGACAGGCAATCAGCATCGTTTTCCCAGAATGATACATCCAATATTTTAGGTAATATATGTCAGGTTCATCTAAATATATTATTTGGAACAAATATTGTAACACCTGCGATAAATTACCAAACCAAACATTAATATTATGGACCAAAGGGAACATACCTTATCGAAATTCTATTTGACAGAAGCTGTCACAGGTCTCTGAATATTAGTGATTTCTATTGAAATATTGAATAACATCGTGAAAAAGTACTGTATTATAAACAAGACCACTTTTTGATTCCAACATGATGCTTTTGTACAGAAAAAACAAGACAACTTTCATGTATTGTGATACATGTTATAGGTTTTGTTATAGTATGGATTTGTCTGTATTTTGCAAGAAACTAGAATATAAAAGATGTACATTCCATCCAATTCCCCATCTTCCTCTACGTCATAATAGTAATCATTTATTAATTTATGGGTTAATGAATTTCTTCAAAGCAATAAAAACATTATGTCCTCTCCATCCTAAATTACAGATAATATGTGTAAGACGTGTCAATCCCTACATCTCCCTGATGCATAATGCAATTACTATGGACATAGACAAAAAATAATGAAAAATGTTTCACAAATAATGTCTTTTAAGTTCAAAAATCAAAAAAACTAGTAATATTTATTGTTTGCCTTTTTGACTGGCGAGGATATCTATCTGTCACTCGCAGGGTTGCCAAGTCTAACGACGATCACGTCCCGTGCTGGAGGGTGCGAAATGAATCTTTTACATTTGCTGGCTTTGAATTTTTTTCGTGAAAATTTACTAGGTATCATGATTATAAGCATCTTTGGTCGATTGTTCGATCCAGAATGGGAAAGATCTCCTATTTATGAAAATATTTTTGGTATCATCTAACCGTTGCAATCAGTGCACAAACACTGTGACATATGATTTATAGCATAACCCACTGCCCTATCAATACAAATTTAACATACAGGTAGCCTAGCCTTGGGGATGCAGTGGTCGGGATGAATATCACGGCAGCAACTGATGATTTGGGCATGTATGGTAACAACGTATGAAGTGAAACTCGCTAGCTTCACAAATTTGAAGATTTTGTACAATTTCTTTGAAAATGATGAAAGATATGTCAGATTTGGCAAGGTAATGTCGCAGTCACTCTTTCTGACACAGTCCGGATCGAAAGATGACGATACTCGTGAAATGTATTGATACTTCTAAATATAGGATCGTATCGAACATCCCTACTGTCAACCCAATGTATAACCCAAGGTACCGACGGAGCTATATTGCGGTGTCATGGAAATAATTTTAAATTTTCATTTGCATTTTTTCAAGTGATGTGCAATGATTTTGGGAAAAATGTCACGTATAGTCTTATAAAGCATAGTAGAGTATACTTCAACAGTTGGCGGAACTTACTCCACTGGGACCAGGAGGGTGAAACGGGATATTAATGCACAATCTGGCAACCCTGTCGCACCCTCACAAAATGGCCGCTGCTAACCACACAAGTCACCGTGTTGTCATTGAATAGCAAGGAACAAAACCTTCAGAGTATAATTTTGTGACTGGTACCAAGAGTTGACAGATCCCACACATGTGTCACTCCTTGAAATGCAATAATCAGCTGTATTCAAATAACGCCTATATAAATAATAAATATAAACTAGAATGTGTACTCGTGAAAAAAGAAAAATATGACAAATTTGTAGTTTTTTTGCAGGTTTTAGGTTTGCTGGTAGGTTTAAGGCATGAATTTGGGAATTTCTTAATCCTGTGAATATAGTGTGGATGTTTGTTCAGTACCTGAACAATGAAAAATATTCAACTTTAGGATATCAAAAAACCCAAGTCTACCTTTTTGTCCAGATTGTTGATAGGAAGAAGAACCTCTTCAGAACACAACTAGTAATTACAAAATAGTACGTACCGTACCAATTTAAAATCATTTATAAAACAGAAAACCACAATAACCACAAATTCCAGCAAATGAAAGTAAAAGTACTAAAAGCCAATTAGGATCTGTAACTTCTTAGGCTAGCATCTACTACAACAAAGGTGATGCATGAAACGCCAATCCTCTCGCAAACAGATCTGGGTCGTGTCGGTTTATTTACCTACTCTGCCATGATTTACAACTTTTGTCGTAAAATGTAAATAAGACCAGGCTAAACGATAGGATATTTGTTTACATAAGCCGTTGCCGTTCCGAAAACAAAGCCCACAGCTGAACCGATATTTTACTTAAGCTTCCGTAAAAAAATGCACTAAATTGCGGGATATTGCACCCTTTACGACCCGTATGCAGCTAATGGGGTTTATTCTTTGGGAGCAAATGGTGGATTTATGCGGAATGACTGTTGTAGCCGATTTTATGCGTCTGTAAATTAATTTGGGCAAGAGCAATTTGTAATTTGTGACTCGTTACCGTAGGACCTGTCGTTTTTAGATATCCTAAGGTAATAAAAAATATCAAATATAATGCCTTAAAGGTTCCAGAGTCGACAGAACTTTGAACATGGTTGTTGATTAGGAAAAGTAGGTTTCTGGATTAGTCTTGAAGACGGTGAAAAAACTATATCTACGGGAAGGATACTTAGTTATTTTTTTAGAAGCAATGAACACGGGTCGTAGCAACGGGGGTACCTGAACCCCTAATGGAAAGTATTTTATACGCCACTGTTCTTGCAGGAGAAAATGAGTGCATTCTATAAAATACCATTCATTTCTCCATCAATCTTATTTCTTAAGGAATTTGTGTCAGATCACTCGTTTTAGGTTTGAGTATTTGAAGTAGGATCCTAAGATATGCTATTTCAAAAACAGAAGAGCGCATCGTCGCACCAAAGCGAAATTTGAGGAACGGAGGGTGGAGGGGGAGTCAAAGTACTCGTTTATTAAACATGGCTGAATGTTTTTTTTAATTGCGCGACATTTTTGAATAACCAGATAAATTGATTCTCCCTAGTTATTGGGAACAACAATCAATTTTTACGTTATTATGGGAAACTGGAGATATAACAACTTGTCCTGTAATAGATTTAGTAGAAGACACAGCCAAAATCTCAATCTAAATCAGATCATTTCTTATGTAAATGATACTGCTGATCTGATTTCCCATGTGTTTTCAGGACCAGGATGGGCAGGTATTTCTGGAGATTTAAAATTTCCGGAAAAATTGTTGAAAAAAAGGAAAAATACGGAAAAATTGTAATATGTTATATACAAGATAAAAGTATTCTGGTTACTGATTTTTCGATTAATATAAATCAAACAGAAATAATTTGAATCAAAACCGCAAGCTACGGCTCTGAAGGATTAGTTCTCGCTAAATACCCGTCGATTTTCGGTGAATTCCCGAACACTACAGCTTTCGGTTAATTCCCGATCACGCACAGCGACACGGCATTTCGGTAAATCCCCGTATTCCTGGATTGTTCAGTTGAGAATGAGATTCCTCAATATTGACACGTCTTATCCTACTAGAAGCATTAGAAGATAACAGTCTCCCTTCAACTAGCAAAAAAGACACGTCATCAATGTCATCATCTTCCGAATCTCCATCACCATCAGTAAAATGCAAGAAATCTAGCTGCCAACAAAAATTGAGCGGGTTTTTCGATAGGATAGCTGTTTCAGAGTTTTCTAAAATTGATGACGCATTAGCTAGGGCTCTTAATGCTTCTGGTGCTCCTTTTTCTCTTTTCAAAAATAAATATTGGAACAGGTTTTTAAAATGTTAAGACCGTCATACCAAATACCTAGCCCTTACGCCCTATCAACAAACTTACTTAATTCAGAGTATGAACGTGTAGAGATAAACCGAAGTCAAAAGCTTTCTGAATCCGATAGTTTATCAATAGTAACAGATAGTTGGACAAATATAGTCGGAGATGGATTAATCAATATTGTTATATGCACGCCTATACCTTTATTTTACAAAAATGTTCATCGTGGCACTACAAAAGAAACGGGAACGTATATAAGTAATGAACTTATCAAAGTTATTCAAGAAATAGGGTCACAATTTTTTTTTAATACTGACTGACAATGCGAGCAATATGAAAGCTGCTTGGCATATTATAAATACAACATATCCTCATATATCTTGTGTTGGTTGTGCAGCTCACACTCTGAATTTGCTACTAAAGGACTTTATGAAAGAAAATTTGATTGAAAAAATAACTAAAGAGTCTAAAAAAAATTTTAAATATTTTAAACAGCACCACATACTTTATGCTGCATTTAAAGAAGCACAGGCCAAAAATATCCAAAAAATAAAGTAATTTTCCTAAAATTTCCTGCAAAAACAAGATGGGGTTCTCTGTTTATAGCTGTTGATTCGCTTTTAAGAAATAAGGAAGCTCTGCAATGTACTGTATTAGTGGAAAACCTGAATGTAAAACAAAATATTAAAAAAGTTGTATTGGATGATGCCTTCTTGCAAAGCCTACAATATACTAAACAAATCCTGCATCCTGTATCAAAATCGATAAATTTAGTAGAATCGGATAGATCTATATTATCAGAGGTGCCTTTTGTCGTTAAGTATATAAAAGACATAATGTTAGATATTCCCCAACATGTTGACCTGACTAGTTCTCTTACCGAAAGCTTGCTAAAATGTGTTAAAGAACGCTACGAATTTTGTTCTAAGCCGATTCACTTTGCAGCCAATCTTCTTGATGCTCGCTTTAAAGGAGAACAATTGAATGAAGACCAACTAATGGAAGCAGTAGACTTCATTTGTGAAATGGCTCGTTCACTAAATCTAGATGTACGGAAGGTGGTGGCAAATATAGCCCAATTTAGAACAGAAACTGGATTTTTTTGTTGAAATCCTTTATGGGATAGTGCGAATAGTACTCATCCCGTTATATGGTGGCAAGGCTTGTGTACATCGCAGCCACTTAGCCAATTGCCTCCCGAATTTTAAATGGAGCGCCATCTTCCGCCTCTTCAGAAAGAAACTGGACTCTACATGGCCTCATACATACAAACAAAAGAAATAGATTATCACAGGATAAAATCCAGAATCTGGTTGCTATTCATTCTAATTTGGTTATAAACGGAAAACAGACATCCATTTACGATGAGACCAGTTCCACTTTTAGAAGACACTGGCAAAGATTATGCTGTTTTGTCCGTCCATGAAGACGAAACGGAGATCGAGTCTAAATCAGATGCTTGGTCTGGAGATTCAAACTCAGACTCAGATGAAATTATACCTCTGAGCGCTTTGCTTAAATAATGTGTTTTCTACCTTTGGAGCTTTGTTTTTGATACTTTCAATTATTAGATAATAATTATAATTTGACCCTATATACATGTATGTATTTGTAACTTAGATATTAATAGATATTATTAAAGTATGTGTTTTGTATTAATTTTTACAAAATATGTTTAAAAAACTAAAATTGGTACCTATTTTTTACGTTTCAAGTCACAATTAAAACATATTTAAATTTTCCCATTTTTTCCAATTTTTCCCATGGTCTGGAAAAAAACGGAAAAAACGTTTTTTCCTAATTTTTCCCGTTTTTTCCGATATGTTAAATCTCTAGGTATTTCCGACTTGTGAATTTTATATGGAGAAAAATTCAAGTTTCAATTTTTCATTGTAAAATGGTTTGCTGTCAAAATAAATAAATACATCATGTCACAAGTATACTGTTTGAGAATTTGCGAAACTTTTCTGTAGATTCGGCATTGAAGTGGGTAGTTTGATATAATATGACTAAAATCGGCCGACCTGGTAACACTCGCTCTATTCCATCGCCACCAAAATCCCTGGACCTGCGCTCACTTATTTTCTTGTTGGGGTTGATTAAGAGAGATCGTATTCCAAGCCGAGTTCACCACGGTAACTAAAATGTGTTGCAGGTTACAAAATATATGATGAAAAAATGTGCGGCATGTATAACAGTAAAGATTGGTAACTACATCCGTAAATCATACATGAATTATCGTCTGATATCAATACTGTCCGTTTTATGTCCCTAAGTTTTGAACTCAGACCGTCGACTAAGTATTCGTTTAATTGCCCAGATGTTAAATTTACCAAAAGCTGTGGTTCATGACATTGTCGACTCAGTCCTATTACTTTGCGGACAAACCCTGTACGTATAATTTTTAGGTGAGTTTCTCCCCATCTTAAGGAAAAATAATACTGGCTGGGGTAAAACGTTCAGGTCTGTGTGTTCTAGAATGAACCCGATCCAAAAAGGGTGACATTTTTGGAAATGATACTGGATTAACTGAATGTGAATTAATTGCGGAAAATCCCGAAAAATTCAAAACCTTCACTAAACTAACTGAATTTTGGCATATGACATTGCAGGATTATCTCCAGATTCCTGGATATCGTGTGTATGTTGCGTAGTGGATGCTTTTTATGCGTTTAGCATTATTTTCAATAAATTTATTTCACTTAACAGCCCAAGATCTATATTCCATACTCTTACTAGGTATGTAATAGCGATAATAATTTCGGATCCAAAACAGTTTAGGTCTAAGTGCTATCGTGAACTCTGCAGCGCAACAAGTCTTCAAAAGCAGTTCGTGAGAACTAAGACTCCAGTAAATTCCGGAAACAAACACTGCCGAAAAAAATCCTGCAACCAGTTTTCATTCTGCCAGTCATTAGAAGCTTTTACGCGGCACTCAACAATCTTTTTACCATAAAACAAGTAGATAATAACTCCCATGTAGCGCGGTCAGCTGAAACAATAACGGAGCTGCTCCTTTTTCTGACAGCACAGAACAGCGTCTTTGTTTTAAAAACAGCGGCAATTTCATGTCTAATAACAGGTTGGAGGCTAAACGATAAGGATAACGTACAGCACAGAAGTCGCTACTAAAGCAGACCGTCCGTTTTGCAGTGTCATCTTGGACGTTGAATGCAGACTGATGATGCAAGGCATTGCCGCTGTAGTACGGGTGTTAGTACCTGGTTTTAGCAGCTGTCTTGGTATCTACCCCAAATTTCACTCTACAGTCTCTTCTTCAGATGGAACAGAAAAACGATTTGAGTTCACTGACTTGTGTTGATACACAATGCTTGCGCTTATTTCTCGTACACAACGAGCTCAAACCGTCAGACAATTTTGGTTTTCCCTGTAGTATTGAGTGGATGTCTACGAGCCCCTTGCCACTTCAGTTGGCCCAACTATTGAAATCTCCGTTTTTTTCTTATCAAACACAAATAATAAAAATGTAGCAGGGTGTTATAGGTTTAATATATTAACAATGAATATTTTGATAATATATAGTAGAAAACACCACCTTTATCACTCCCTAATCAAATTTGCAGCATAAAAATAACACATCACAACAGCATATCAACCTATTTTCATTTCATTGCAAAATAAGTCTATAACGCATAGGTGGCTGTGAAAAATAAAAGCCATGTCAATTGTTTTTATTAATCACAGCTGTCAGAATACGTTTAAAATAGTTTTGGGTAGTTAAGGTTTTCAAAACGGGTAGAGGAAACGTTATTAGAGAGAAAATTCGGTTACTGATAATTAGATTTTTTAATTCTGGGAAATCAAACTCGGAAATTGCAACTTTATTAGACTTATCGCGGTACAGTGTGAGAAATATTGTTAGAAGATATAACGTAACTGGTTCAGTTAATATTAAGCCACGATGTGTGAAAAAAGTAATATCACAAATGCCGACCGAAGAGCATTAAGAAGAATAATGGTGAAAAACGGGCGTGCCAATTATTTACAATTAAGTGCTCTGTGGAGTGACGCTGTTGGAAGGAGAATGTCCAGGTCCACAACTCATAGAGAAGCCCACAAACCCTAAAGTTGTGTTTATAGGCCAAAGAAAAGCCACTATTAACTCCACTGCAAAAGAAAAATCGGCTTAGATGGGCTAAAGAACATAGACAATGGACACCTCAACAATGGTGTACAATACAATGGAGTGATGAGGCCCGATTCGAAGTTTGTGTTAGTGACAGATGCAGTAGAGTTATTCGCAAAAAAAAGTATCCCATGTTGACTGTCTGAAGAGAAAAGTGAAATTTCCAGCATCCATTATGGTCTGGGGCAATATGTCATCAAAAGGAGTAGGAAACCTTCATTCTATTGATGGAAATGTGGATACAAACAAATATTTGGCAATTTTAGAAGAATCGCTTTTACCAGATCTGTCACCTATTGAAACCTTGTGGCACGAGATGAAAAAGTTTCTACAACATCCTGCTCGTACAATCACCGAACTGAGACAAAAGCTTCAAGAAATATGCGATTGTTTTACATCAAATTTTTGCCAAAACTTGGTTAACACTATGCCCCAAAGAATTTCATTCATTTATTCGCACATTGCTTATTTGTTCAGATGTTCTCTTAGTTATAGGTCTAAGTGATCTCAAATATGTATTTTTTACGACTAGAGTGTATCTAAAATGTTTTTGAGAAAATAAATTGTTTTTGAAGTAAATAGTTTCATCATGTTTAGTTTATAAGGTCATATTTTGGTACAAATCTTGAAGTGGGCCAACTGAAGTGGGAAGGGGCTCGTACTTATATCCTTATCACTTCTTTTCAAAAAATGTTTGGTTTTCTTGAAACCTTGCTTTGCAGCAAATTCAGCGAAGATTTTTTGACGAGAGAAAGTGGTAAAAATAATAGTAATCACGTTCAATTTTTCCATAAAAATGGAATATTTACATGATGTTACAAGTATACTACTTGTTAAAAAAGTTTTGATTGAGGAAAAAAACACATAAAAATCCATTCTCTGACAAAAAAAAACTGATTACATCGTTTTTCATTCATCTCTATGCACACCGTGGAACAATCAGACGTAAAGTATGTATTGAGAATACTCGTCCAGACAGGCTGTTTAAAAAAACATGCGATGTTAACAAAGTTTAAGTTTCTTCTATTTAGTCGGTTATATCAGTATTATACCACCAACTACCTGCACTAACAGTGCGCAGAAGTCGCAACTGCAGGCCCTGCTTGTTTCGCAGTGTCATCTTGGATGACCGTTGATTGAAGGTGGATGATTGAACGTACTTTGTCGGTTGTTTTAAAACAGTTTCGCTGTCATCCCATTCTGCAGTCGCGCTTCAATCTGAAGACGATCTTCCTCTTTGTAAGCGATGCTAACGCATGATAGGAGTAGCAGGGCAATTCATTCATACGATTGACGTATCAGCTGTGGTATCAAAATCCACGATAATCTGAACTTCGGTATTATTTTTGCTACATGGAGTGATACAAACTGGGATACCTGTTTTGCTTAATATACAGGGTGGCGCATTGAAAACGAAACAGACGCATTTGCTGGCAGCTCAGTTTTTTTTGGATTAACGCTCAGACCCGTCGATTTTGTTTTCGAGGGGGACACAGGTTTGGCAAAAAATCACGTTAACACGTGCAGCCCCCTGGGGGGTGACACCAACCCTAAAATCTTAAATGGAAAGGGGGGTCGAGTGATACCTTATTTTAAAGGTCTACAATTTCCAGGCAGGCAACAACGCAGTAATTCCATTAGAACTGAAAAATAACAAACTGTTCTTTGCTGCAAAACTGACAAAAAATATAAAACAGAAATAACGAACTTTAGACGGTATATCGCTCTTGGAAAATAATATATCCTGGGAGAACTGTATTCATTCTTATATATGTTTAGTTATTTGTTGCTAAGGTATAGACAGAATTTAATTTGCTTAGTTACATAAGTGACAATCCTGGGATAGTGAAAATTAGTTTATTGATTCAGATTTAACTTCCAAAATGGCTTAGAAAGCTAGCCGAAAGAGTGGAATAGATTCTAATGTATCGTGCCCAAAATCATTGTGCTCGGCAAACCACT